TTGTGATCATTTGTCTCCAAAATCTATATTCCATCCAGTAAATTCAAAATAAAATTTCTAGTTATGAGATGGGCAGCACCGATAAGAACCAAGAAATCACCCATTCACCATCCCTACATTTTCAAAAGAATTGCTAGTTATAAGATGCCCAGCATCGATCAATGAACCGGCAATTCTATGACAGTCTATGCGGCACCAATGAAATAAGCTTTTCCCTGCTTAAAGCACTAGCAAAATCATATGAATACTAAGGAGCACTAATCATGCACATGAAAAAAAAACCTCCAGAGAAGCTATTTACACGTCAACTGAGAAACGAAGTACAAATCAGCAGCATGCCGACCACTGAAATCATCACCATAGCCATTCACATCCTTGCAGGGTCACGAACTCTGTTTTCAGCGCCCAGATGTAACAGTACCACCAACACTTATGCATGTCCCACACAAAGCAAAATATGATCTGACTCGCTCTATAGTTAACTCTTCCAGCACTATTCGGTAGCAGAAAAAGTTCAATGCATAGAAGCCAATGCATACATGGACATGAAATTTGGCCAATAAGAACCCAGATATGGCTTAACAAAGAACACAAATTCCATGATCACATGGATAACAATGCTTTCTCAAATTTCCCATTCACAAAGCCAGCCCCAAATGGTTCCCAAAGACCTCCAGCAACAAAAGAAAGTAGCCTCATTTTTTCAAGCCACAAGAAATGACTCTGATGCCTTCACAGCCAATCAAAATTTTAAGCCTTTATATGATGAGACTCATACACACTACAAACTAAGCCAGTTCTCAAACAAAAAAAGAAAAAAAGGAAAGAGAAACGAAACCAAGCCCTGATAATTTGCATTAATGACATGGGATTTGCATATTAACAACGGAAAAACTTCGCTAATGATTAACGAACCAAGTAGAAGCTCAACATGTATTCTTTTGGCATGTAAAGTTTATATCTTGCAAACATTTTGGCACGAGTTATACAAGGACATTCAACAGATCAAAACTCCACTTCATATCCAGCCCATACACAATAAAACACTGTTATAGTAACCCACCTAGAAAAAAAAAACCCAAACAATACACAACAAAAACATGTTATCAACAACAATGAAACTCAAATCCCAAAATGATGTAAGAAAAGAAAAAACAGAAGGAAAAGAGAGTACCATGAAGCAAAGAACCCATGATCTTCAACTTCTTCTTTAGAAGCCCACATGGCAAAGAAAAGAATGTAAAAACCAAACAAAACCCATCACGAAAGACAAGTAAAAAAGAAAGGGAATCAGATCAAAGAGAACCCAATGAGAGAGAGAAATTATCTCTCTCCCTGAATATAACGAGAGAAGGAGGGAGAGACTAGAATTGAGCTACTAATATAGTTAACAGTGAGGGTAGTGTTGCTGTAGTATCATTTCTTTTTATGGGTTAACTTTCTGTCTCTTTCTTTCTTTGCCTGCTCTGTTTTGTGATTCCATCCCTCTCTCTCTCTCTCTCTCTCTTATGCCAATGAGATTTTTGGTTTTTAAAAGGCATGATTGTAACCGAATTATAATTCAATTTCACTAATAATTTATTATAGTTTTTATATTTATAAAAAATATTAAACTACATGGTTAAATTTAATTATATTATTCAGAATATCTATAAAATTAAACTGAATTAGCAATTTTAATTATTTTATCCTTAGCTTATACTATGGGGCTAGAAAATTATTTATTGATATTTTATATTACAAAATATCTGTTTAGTTGTCTTTTCAACGCTTTTGAAAGAACACACCCCTTGACAATGAAGCTAATTCTTTAAACAAAATCAGGGAAAAGCTCAAATAACAATTTTCTTTTGTATTTATTTACACAGGAGGTATTGTCTTCTTCAAGAAAATGGCAGTTCACTGCACACAAAACCGTCAAGCTAGGTGAAAATGATAATTAATAGCCTCGTTAAAATTAACACTGAAAATGCTACAGGGAATAAAAGCGGACAGTTTTCATTACACAAACCCTGTATCCAACCGAACATGAGCAGTACAAGCATGATGGCATTTTCGAGCAAAAGCAAAATTATTCCCCTAAAAGCCGATATCCAAGCAATCCTCTCTTTAAAACGCAAGGGTTGATTAAAGCAGATTAAAGTCTCCTACCAAGGTCCAAGGCACCTGAAAACCAGTTGAAAACTTATGGAGACGAGTCCGTAATTTATCCCTGAAAGCAGAAATAGGACTCGCATGCACAGAACGCATAGCAGAACCATTGCAGCCCAGCATGATCCACCACCGACAGAAGTTAAACAACGAAAATGAATGTGATGTACAGAGACATGAATCATCTGAGAATTCCATAAAGAACATTATTAAACTATTTGAAATCTTGATTCATTCTTCTTGACTTCAAGATTCTTTTTAAGTGTTATCCTGGTTGCAACTCAATATTGATATGCTTCTGTTAATATAAATTCGATCCTCTCAATGTACAAAAATGTTGTCTGTGCAACGTGATTTATTGGGAGTTTAAAAGAGAGAATAAACCTTCTATTTTCTTAATAAAAAATTGGATAGGCAAATATGCTCTTTGAGCATTAAATAATCAATCTTCTTCTAACATACATCGGACAAACTTATTTTAAATCTTATGGCATTTTGAAATATTTAATTATATTATTGAAAATACTAGATATTAAGAAAAACAACAGGAGATTTTTTAAAAAATAATTGTGAGACATTGAATCTTGATATTAATGCGGAATCCAATGACGAACAAGTCTGCTGATGGGCCTTGTAGAAATTTAATATCTTCAAACTCATAACAGATGATAGCAGAAAATTCATTGTGCACTGTCAATTATGGACAGATATGAACCCTACTCTAATGAATGACGCGGGGTGCTGGGTATAACCTAAGAACAATTGTGTAGGGCCCTCTATATGTCCCATCCATGTTCTCGACTCGATCAAATGTTACTTTAACAGGTTGTACATGATTACAGGAATGCCTGAATTGTCTCGATCTTTTGATTATTGTACAATCGAGTGTTGCCTTTATGCTGTGTTTTTCCCTTTTTGGTGTGTTTTTTAAAAAATATTTTTTAAAAAATAACAAGTGTTGCCTTTATGCTGTGTTTTTCCCCTTTTGGTGTGTTAAAAAAAAAAATTAAAAATAGTTGTTGCTATATTTTTATATTCTATCTTTTAAATTATACATACACGATCATAAAAATTATTATCCAATGGTTTAATAAAGATTTCAAGCAACAGTGAAGTAAAACTATTCAATTCGTTACAGAGAATCCTAGTAGCATTGACCGGCCTGTCTCCTTTCTCTGTTTTTTTTTTTTTTTTCTCTCTCTCATTTTTTGCGCGCATATTAACCTTTCAAACGCAATCCTTGTCATAAAAAGACAGTTACTTACAGGAGAAAGAGACGTTCTGGGCCACCGAACTTGGCGCTGTGACCGTGAAATAATCAATTTATTTTAATAATTTAAATTATTAAATAATATTTTAAAATATAATTTATATTATTTTTTAATATATTTTTTAAATTTAAATTTATATCATCTTATATTTAATTTTTATCAAATAAATAAGAATTATAAAATTTGAATTTAATACTATATAAAAAACTATTTTAACTTAATAATTTAAATTATTAAATAAAATTTTAAAATATAATTTATATTATTAAAATATCACATGCCGGTTGGTTTTCGGAGCTCCAATCGGTCGGTGGTTATGTGGTTATGTCAGAAGTAACCAAATATGTTACCTCTAACAACGCCATAGTAAAAAGAACTGTGATGATGCCAGACTTTGATCTGGCTGTTTTTAACCTTCTCACCGCATTATGATTAAATTAATCCCTCCAGATTCATTGATCTATGATAAAGCATTCAATGAAAATTAAGAATCTTGACTCTTCTAATGTCACTTAGATTAAAATTTCAATTATCAAGATCATGTTCGGAAACATGGCTAGCCGTGTATTTTTAGGATTTTTTAATTTTATTTTTTAAATAATTAATTTTTTTATATGTTTGTATTTAAAAAATAAATGATATCAAGATTAAAATTTTAAAAATAAAAAATATTATTTAGATATATTTTTAACTAAAAACAATTTTAAACCAGCCACATAATTAGCAAACCTCGTCGATGCCTCTTTTGTTTTTCTACACTGAGAGTTGAGGTTGCATTTTAACTTTTCGTTCAATAAAAATCCCTCCATATCGGAAAGACAATTCAATTATAAATAAAAAAACCCCAACAAGTTCCTTAATGATTGAGATTTCTTTTTTCTGTCGGTGGGTTATCATAAATGTATCAAGTCTTCTTCTTCTGCTTTTGTCTTGCTTCTTCAATGAATGTTTTAGTTTCCCAGATTCTATTTTCTATGTTCTATAATATTCTCTTGACTCTGACCTGTAATATTTGATTAAAAAAAAATACTGTGGTCTGTGATGTATAATTATTATTAAGTAATAAATTCAGATGCCTACCATAGTTATTGCCAATTATTCATTGTCACTTGGTAACATTTCATTAGAATCATTACCGTATTTTTTTTGAAAAAGTTCAATTTGATCCTTGAAGTTTTTTTAAATTTTTTTTATCTTTAATCTATATAGTTTTGAGTTTTGATATTTTGGTACTCAAATTTTAATTTTTCACGTTTTAATTCTTGAGAGCTATGAAGTAAGAGAAAAAATCATTGAAAAAAAAGGGAGAGAAAATAGGTTTCAATCAACCATATTCTAAATATAAAAAGGGATGATCTTGGTATCCGTAGGTTTGTCTTAGATAAAGAAGTTTAATGTAGGTTGTTTAAGCATTCATTCATGTTGGAATGTAGACTTAGGTCTGAAAATGTTTTTTTATTAAGTTTAATTTCACGTTTTTAGACGTATTAAAAGGTGTTTTAATGTTTAAAATGGGGTTATTGCTGCATCCTCGTCTAAAGGTTTTTGTTGACGTTGTTCCAATTGTAACTTTATTTTTCTTACACGTCCTTTTCAGGCGTGAACTTGTGGCCTGGAAAGCAAATACGCAGTCACAACTATCATACTCCTGAGCCCTTCCGGAATCGAGTATGCGTGAAGTTTCTAGTCTCTATCCTTTATCTGATCATAACTGTAGAGAATCACTATTGCAATATTACTGCAAATTTTGATTGGTTTTCTTATACTTTCAATTAATTGTTGTCGAGCTAACGCTCGGTTACGTAAACATCCTCCTCTTTCCTCTCTTTCCAGTGGGCTGTGCTCACTTTATTGGTTAAAACCCATCGCTTGATTTCGGATTTGAAACCAGTCCTCTTTTAAAAGACATCTTTGATCAATCCATATATTTGTAACGCTTCTTTGATTCTGAAGTCGGAAAGCATATCGAGCTTGCAAAGGTTATGCAAGATTAAACAAGCAAGAGTTCACTTGTATTTACTTCCTTTTCACCTTTCAATGCAATTTTTCGTTGTTTTATGGCGGTTTCTATGTGTCTCTATGCATTCTCGCGATTACTTGGAGTCCCTGATTGTATTTGTTGTTTTATTCAACTGAACTCTTTTGTTAAATAATTTTCCTCCATTGGCAGGTTGTGGTTTTGATAGGCAGTTCCATGAGTGCCGCTGATTTATCTATTGAGATTGCTGAGGTAGCCAGAGAGGTCCACTTTGCATCCAGATCAGTGGCTGATGAAACCTACGAAAAACAGCTGAGGCATGACAATCTGTGGCTTCATTCTATGGTAAAAGCTCTAATCCCAAGTTAAGAATGGAAATTGTCTATCATTATAGAGTTAATGATTTTGTGGGGGCCGGCAACTGTTTGACCATGTTGCTAGGAGATGGCTTGATCTAAAATGCTTATATTTTTCCAAAAACTATTCAGGTGGAAAGCGCCAGTGGAGATGGTACCGTGGTTTTCCGATTTGGCAGTGCTGTCGTTGCTCACATTATTCTGCATTGCACTGGGTATTTTTTATTTAGTTTTGTCCAGTTGAAAAGACAAAGCAAGAATGAATACTGGTTTCTTACAATTTGCAATTGTTCTTGTTATTGAATGAAGCCACAGATTGTGACTGTAGATGACAATCGTATGGGGCCACTTTACAAGCATGTTTTTCCTCCCATCTTTGGCTCCAGGGCTATCCTTTGCTCGTATACCATGGACGGTTGAACTCTAAGATGTCATCTGCCATTGTTTTCATTTTGTTTTCGGCTGCATCATTGAAACTAACCCTTCGTCTGTGATTAGTCCTGTGCTGTTCCTTCTCCAGTGTCTGAGTTTCAGAGCAAGTGGATTGCTGGTGTGTTATCAGGTCGATTTGTGGATTGCTGGTGTGTTATCAGATCGATTTGGTACAATATGTTAAGGCCTTCTAGTCTACACTTGAAGCTTCTGGCATTCCCAAACATTACATTCATAAGATGTTAGTTTCTGGGGTACTAAGCCAAGCCTCATGTTTGTTTGTCTGTTTTTTTTTTTTTTACTGACAAATTAATTTCCATATTTTAAAATATAAATTTCAGAAGTGATAAACATCCACTTCATTTTCCTAGAAGTTCATTTATCACCTGCTTATAGCACGCTCTAAGCTAGCGTTCTGTTATTCTCGTGGACAGCTGAGACCAAAAGAATAGGAGGAATATAAATATGTTTGGTTAAATAGATAAAAATAAATATAATTTTAGAATAAATTTTTATATTTTTAAAATAAGAGGTATAAAAAAAACATGTTTTTATAAACAATATTTTTTATTTATAATATATTCTTGTAAAATAAAAAAAATTTAATTTTAAAATAAAAATAAAAATTATTATTAGTATTATTATTTTAAAACTCAATTTAGAATAAAGTCTAGATCAATGGTTGAAACATGGTTTATAGATTAGGTTAACTCGAGTTAGTATAAAAATAAAAATAATTATCAGGTTAACTCGAGTTAGCATAAAAATAAAAATAATTATTATTATAATTTAAAAACTCAATTCAAGGATCAATACGAGATAAAGTTAAGTTATAAATGGGGTTAATCGTTAATTCGAGTCAATATAAAAATAAAAAATAGTTATTATTATATTTTTAAAAATTAATAAGACCTTGGTCATGTATTAAGAGGATTAAAATTAAATAAAAATAATTATTATTATATTTTAAATTTTAATTTGGAGTTAAACTCAAAACAAGACTTGAATTATGAATCAAAAAGGTTAATTTAAATTAATAAAAAAATAAAAAAAATTTCATGAATAAAAAAGGTTAACTTAAATTAATAAAAAAATAAAAAAAAATATTATTATAATTTAAAAAATTAATTTGAAACTAATTATAAGGTTATGAATTGAAGGAGTTAATACGAATTAATTTGAGTTAATACATAAATAAAAATAAAATTTATTATAATTTGGAGTTAATATGAATTAATTTGAGTTAATATATAAATAAAAATAAAATTTATTATAATTTTAAAATTTATTTTTATTGAATCTAATTATTTTTAAAAAATTATTAAAGAATAATGAATGATGAAATGTTTTTGATGATATCGAGGGAGGCTTGTCGTATAAAAAGAGAGAGAAAAATTCTTCGTCGTATCTAAAAAAAACACCATTTTTTATACCTATTTAAATTATTTAGATACACTTGTCTTCTCTATTTGTTTTCCTTGCCGTATCTTTCTTTCTTTGTTGTTTTTTTAAGAAAATTCTTCGTCGCATCTAAAACAACACCATTTTTTATACTTATTTAAATTATTTACATTCACTTGTCTTCTCTATTTGTCTTCTTTGCCGTATCTTTCTTTCTTTGTTGTTTTTTTAAGAAATGGCAAGAGCATCCGGGTCCAGTAGTCCTTCAGCTCCAAGCCTCGGAGGGAAGACTATGCCTTCAACAGGTATTATTGGATCTGGGTTTTGGTCCATCAAAGGAATCTCAAGGAGAGTAGTGCGTTCCAGCACCATTGAAGGTTCAGAGAAGATTTCCCCTTCTCAATCTGGATTGCTCAGGCCAGTATTTTGGTTGTGGTCTCACATGTTGTTGTTTTTTTTGTCTCAATTGGCAAATGAGTCTTTAATGCAAGTGGGTTTTGATTAGTAATGGTTTTGGTTATTTGTTTGATGGTGAATATATGCTTGTTTGTTGAATGAAGTGGAAAAAATTTTAGAGGTCGCAGCTGAATTGTTGTTGCATGAACACATGTAATAGAACTTTCAATTTAATGAAAGAATAAGTGGGGTGGACTTTGTTGGTTTTGTAAGCTTGATTTTAGATATGGTTACAGTGTGCAAGTTTGTTGAATCATTAGCTGGATATCAATTCCAAGGTGATTTTTGAGAGGATAGTTTTTCAAGGATATCTTAATAAATTGATTATGAAGTGGTATGTTGGTTTAAGCAGGTTATGGAATGTTAGAGAGCTTAAAAAACTATCTATTGAGTTCATGAAGAAATGAATTAGTAATGGAGTTTACTGATTACAAGGTGGTGAATGACGTTCTAATGTCATTTTCTTTTTCAGCTGAATCAAATAGCAAAGTAACTTGAAGTATTGTGTATATGATGAGGGAACTCTGATATGCTTGAACAATATCTTGGTGACTGCTATGTAGATATAGCAAAATGGTGAATAGTTAGCTTAGTCAACACATTGAGGTTTACATAGCATCCTGTTCTGCGAGTGAGCAATGACTAATTTGAGTTCACCAGCTATCCCAAAGTGTATTAGTTCCCTGGCGTGTCAATTATCTTGTTCAAATTGTCTGGTTTTTAGGAGGCTAATGTAACGGGACCTCGATATCAAAGCTGCCTAGGTTACAGATTAGAGTTTCCCTTAAAAGAACGGCTCATGTTCATAAAGTTGGCTTTGTGAAGGTGATTGAGGAGTTCCAAGAACACTATGAAGTCGGAATGCAAATGATGTTTTGTTTCCTCTCCGACAATTCTTTTTCTTGTTAATATCTGATTTGCAGAGTGCATCTGTTTGATAGCCAGCTAGAAAAAATCTCAGATCCTCTGTCGATAGCGAATGCTGCATTGGTTGTACGATTGCTTTCATCTTATTAGTTTATTTTCAAATAAATCTGACTCACTCAACAAACCATTTCCTCCGTTCTGCACTATTTAGGGAGATAATTTTTGTGACATTTAAAATTTTAATTTCTTTCTTTATGACTTCAACCTACACCATGACATGGCTCCTTTAATTTACCGTGTTAAAAGTTTTGCACAATCATGTCTCTTTATTAAACATGTAACATCTTGGCTCAATAACCAAGTTGATAATAGATTGTGCTTTCAGCTGGATCTTCATTGTTTTTCCCATCATGTTTCTTTCATTACTTACAGATATTCAATCATGTCATCACAAATAGTGTTAAACACGGATTTTTCCCGTCATGACTGTATAGCCTGTACTTCTAGATGAGTAATTACAGTAGTTTAGTACGAGTCTTTTACTATTGTGGAGTCTAGTTTTCTTGGTAATGATGGTGGGGGTTTTATGTCCATGAGGCCCTTTCACTTGAATGTTAATTCGTACTTACACTGAGAATTAGTCATATCAACTTATACTTGAAAGTACCTTGCGTCATGTTGGTACAGTTCTAGGTTGCATCAACTTTTTAGTTTCAAAGAATTATAGGAAGCGAACCAAACATTTCTTGTTCTAGCTGTCTCCGTATCATACTTAGTATTAAAGGACTAACAGCTTGATCCCATCTTCCCTTAAATCAAACAGGTTATGGAAGATAGATTCATAATATTCTCAGACAAACCATAAGCATTTTTATATTGAATTCCAATCCTTGTCTCCAGCTAAATGTATGTCTACAATTACCAAGCTTCAACGGCACTTAAGCTGGAGAGAAAAAACCTTATATCTTCTTTTATGTCAGATTTTGTTTGGTTGAAGGCATTAATAAAGTATCAACTCAAAATGCACCTAGGATGAAAAACGTTTTAATTAGATAGCTGCTTGAAACTGAGAATTACGATAATCATGCTTCTCATGTGCAATTATTTTGACATTTCTATCATCCTGCAGGCCTGTGACAGTGAGGATGATGGTCTTCTAAGTTTTGACCTGCACAGCGATGGAGAAGGTCTAAGGTAATGTGCTTCTTAATTTTCTTGAGTAAACAAGCCCCATGCCTCCTGGAATGTGATGCAATATGTTTCCTCCATTTGTTCAGATATTTAAATGCCTCCATCAAAGATAATGAAGTTGATCATGCATTGGGTTCTAACGGCTCAGTTTCAGACTTTCCTCCTACACGTCATTCCATCATTTCCTGCCTTCAAATGAATGGAAAAGATGTGTGCCCCAGTCCATAGAGTGTGCTCTTGAAAAGGCCGGTCTTACTGGGTCAAGCATTGACTGGCCACTGATCCGCCAGGCATGAGATATGAGATATTTTATTGGCCCTAATAACTTTTCAAAGGTAATATAACAAATTTTTGACTAATTTTTTCTTTAATCACCTTTTAGATTAAAAATATATATATAGAAGTGATTTAAATAATTTAGACTTTAATTTTTCAAAAACCCAATTTTTTAGAAGTTTATCAAAATTAATTTTTCTTGACCTTTCGGTTTGACAAATATGTATTTTATGGTTCAGGACCTTCAGATTTTTAGCGTAGAATGATCATAAAAGGGTAAGGCAAAATGATTCCTAGATTCACTTCCATTTGCGCCTTTTGGCATTAGGAAGGGCTGAAAGCAACTGGGAAAGATCTTGATGTCCATTAATTGATTAATAGTTAGATGATATTTACTTTGCAATAGGAATGGTTTAGCTAAGTTCACCAATGGTAGCAACTGTAGTCTGCTGAAAATACGCAGGTGGTGATAATTCTAATAAGGTGGTTTACACAGAGAATTTGTGAATGAAACAGCATGCAGATTATACGAGACTTCTTACAAGCAATTCTTGCAAATTCTCATATGCTGATAGACATTTTATAATAGAGTGCTTGTAAGTAACAAAGATCAATTTCTGCAGGCAAATCAAAGGATCATTGATGCAGTTGCAACATGCTTAGAAGTCCCGCCAGAAAGGATCATATCAACTGTGGCAAATTATGGTAACACAAGTGCTGCTTCCGTTCCATTGGCTTTGGATGAAGCCGTCAGAAGTGACCACCATGCCATACCATG